AATCTTTTTACAATACCCTCTGCATCTTGATTGGTAGGATTTTCCATTGACAGAACATAAGTTGCACTTGCAGTGACAAATACTGTTTTGCATGCTAGAGAAATATTGCAGACATCAAGCCATTTCAGACGTTGATATTTTTTGCATCTGATCTAATTGCTGTTCCTTGTTATTGAGTGCAATTCACTCTGAATTCATTGACATTCATTTGTGAATATTGTTCACTTGGCCTGTAAAATAAAGTGAGTCAATTGATTTAGACTGCAAACTACTTGTGAACTACAATCAAGCAATGTTAATTTGATTAGATGAAGCAAAAGAGCTACATCTGAAGCTTGCCTCAGTCCCTGAATGCAACCACAATCTAGCATGCACAGCATGATGCCAGAGGGTTGCAAAAATTAGTGTAAATTAGAGCGTATATTGGTATGAGTGGGAAACGGACGGTACTGTACTGTGACCGTAATTGTACTGTAACCAAATTCTAGTGCCCCATTGGTTCACCAAAATTGTGAAGGCCAGGTCCGGTAACTGTGCGGTAACCGTGCGATAACGGTGTCCCACTCATACGAAATCCGCTCTATAACCCTGAATATTTATATCCAGTATCTTCGTATTGATCAAAACTGAATTTTGGACTTCCCTATTAATCTCAATTAAAATGAACATCTTTCACCATGTTTTAGGTTGGATAGTAAACACACGTTTCTTGTCTCCTTTGACTGACAATAACATGTTTTATACTGATGCACAATTTTGGGAGGTAATAATAAAATATTATTATTTAATTTTATCTAAAGCTGTAGCAAGACTTGACAAACTGTGGAGTTTTAATTACATTTGAAAAGTTTAGGATTTGGTCTCTGCATTATATGCAGGCCCTAGCTATCTGTGTTATGGCCCAGCTGTGTTTGCTTAATTAATAAACAAGTTTCAAAGATGGTCACTGATAGTTCACTACAGCCAATAACAGCGGAGTAGTGAATATAATCATGGAAATGAGGTCTCAAAGGCCTTCCATCTAAAAAACACTAATAAAGATTGCAGTGCTCAAAAGATTGAAAAACTAACAATTGGTAAACTAACAATTAAAGTACTCTTGAAAGACAGCACTGAAGTTTACTATACAGAGGCTGGCCTTTGAGACCTTGTCTTAAGTGCTCTGTCCCCAGTTCCATGGTCAGTAACCATGACTATATCGCAGTATTTTTGAAAGTCATAAATAGACCAGCTTAAGAAATCTTACTATGCCACTGCAGAGATCTACAAATGTCTCAATTTTCAGGCTTTCAATAAAATATAATTTAATATGTTAATAAATAATGATTAGAAAGTATTTTTACTTGTGATCTCAAGGTCCCTGAGGATTATCATAATTGTCTTCAAACCAACCCAKTGCTGAAAGTTCAGAGGCCTACACCAMCATCTGAAGAAAGACCTACAGAAACATTATTGATGCAAGAAATATCAGATTCATCAGGATTAGTACCAAATAGCATCAGTGGCATAGAAACATATGCATGACATAATGTCTGTTGCAGACCATGTAATATTGAATGAGATTTAGTTGGACAATGGAGAGTGACTTTTCAATGATATGCTTTTCCTTAATGAAGCACTGTTAACTGCATTCTTGTTTGCTAATACTTCATATGCATGACATAATGTCTGTTGCAGACCATGTAATATTGAGTGAGATTTAGTTGGACAATGGAGAGTGACTTTTCAATGATATGCTTTTCCTTAATGAAGCACTGTTAACTGCATTCTTGTTTGCTAATACTTCATGGGTTAAGTGTAACAAATCTGTTTCAAACCTACCTGAAATAGAATCATAGAATAGGTATATACACTTTGAATGTCAAGTAGAACTACACGCCTATATTTAGAGGGAGACTATTTGCAATCTTTAATTTATAGGTTTATTGTTTGTAATTACAGTAGTTTGACACTTAGATTGTATTTGTATTATAATAATTAAATAATAATATATAACCTACCTGATAATTATAATTATAAAACCACAGAACAGCTGACCATGAACACCAATAGACCTAATCGGCTAACGTGTTGCTATAAACATTTATCACTCAATTCAAACYACCTGGGAGTAAATTTCATTGTTCACAGCTGAGATCTTAGAAACAAAAGTTTTTTTTCAATCTACAGGATTTGAATTGGTTGGGTGGTAACGTACTTGGCAGCCTGTTAGCCTATTAAGTCTACTGGAACTAGCTACTTAGTCCTGGTTTATAATTTTATATATATATATTAGACACAAACTACTTGCAATATTGAAGTTAAAGGTTTATTGCTAAATAGTTCCTGCACAGTATGAACATTGTATAAAGTATTATAACAATTAACATTTTTCATATTTCTACCAAATCTTTATAGAGTTTTCAAAAGGATATTATTACTTAGTAGTAGCAAGTAGTCACTTGTTGACCAGGAAGCAAATAACAATGTTTAAAGTTGCATGGATAAGAATTAAATTAAAGTTAATCTTGTTCGAGGCCAATAGACTTCAAAAGCTTTTATGTCACCTTCCGGTACTTGATTTGCAATGAATTGTGGTCAGTTTTTAGGCAAAACAAAAGAAAGCTGCCATGACGTTAATCCCTTCCAAAACATATCTAGAAGTGCAACAATCATATTTATTGTGCACTATRCATTATAATATTTATGACATTAAAAGCTTCAGAGGTCTATTTGACCAAATGAAGGTGTGAAATCTTAACATCCAAGTGATATCAATTCACCTAAAGTAAGCAGAAAAAATTTTCTTCCATGCGCAATTTTTTAAAATTTAATAAGCCTCCTTGTTGGTTTGGGTAATAATAAAGCTGTCCATCTTCATTATAATTACTGACTTGCATTACCCACTGAATCATTATTATTTTGCGTGTCTTTGATAGAATAATGTAGCGTTAAAAATCAGTCAATCCCATTTTAAAGTTRTCCATTGTTGGACTGCTTCCGTGCATCTAAATTCTTTTTGAAATTCCTGGAATTAGCAWTTTTTAATCTAATTAAATGTTAGTATCTGCCTGTTAACTTGCAAATTAAATATTGTCCATAGTGTACTGGGGATTTGTTGGCCTTTGTTTTGACAAGGTTAATTTATATTATATATCGACAATTCGTTCTCTATAAAAATCAAACATGACAAATATATTCCAGCCAACATGACAGTGGAATAGAGTGCACCCCATAAGCCTGAAACAATTCTTAAGTAATTTAGCACCTAATAAGATTCAGTTATCAACTAACTAAAAATTTAGTGAGGCATAAACAAAGATAAGCTTCCTTTCTGGCATTGTGTTCATGCCCCAGTGAATTCTTAGTTAGTTGATAACTAAATCTTATATTTAGATGTTGATAGTTAAGAATTGTTTCATGGTTTTTTGGCATGCACTCTACTTATTTTAGTTTTAGTTATTATAAAATTCCATATTTGCCTATGCTTAAGATATAATTAAAATTATTTAAGTGAAATATTTTTGATAAATAATTTGATATAATTATTTAATAATTGATTTAGTTTATTCCTAATATTAATAAAAAATGAATAATAGAATCATGACATTTTAGGAAAACCTTTGTATAATGAAATATTGTGTACAAAAATAATTATTTAAATTGATTTATTTTAATTATTATTGTGAAAGAAATAATTAGACTTTGCAGTAGCCTTCTAGTCTTCAAAGCTACCACTGACTGACATGTAACAACCAATCAATGGCCTTCTTTTATAATTATGACATCACRCCAAGACATTCTATTGTTTCATTACCTCAAATTAAGTATTACACAATTTTATTTAGCTTATAAATGTTCTATATATATGTGGACAATCATGCCTCAATTAAAGGTTTCTGGTAGTGATTTGCAAATTCTCGATATAAGTTTATAGAATGACTATTCAATCGAATGTTGAGGTTGCCATGGTGATTTGTTTGAGTGTAGCCTGTGTAGAGGTTAACAGAGTTACTTTCCACTGAAGGAAGCTTCACTTGTCGCACTGAATCATGGGAAAATAGTTGATGTGCTTTCCTAAAAAAAGACAAGATTCACRATGGTCTAGATGATCTAATGGTTAAAGCATCAGACTCCAAAACTAAAGGCCTACAAGCTTGGAAAAAGGGCGGCACTCATTGCAACTGAGTGAGACTAAACCCTAGCAAAAGATTTGCCACAGACCAAGACATACATGTCGACAATTTTTACATTTGCACAACATTTCTCCCCTCCCCTCCCCCCCAATACATGTTGTATGGCTATTATTTTTTTTTCATTTGTTGTCCATTCATTAACCTGTGCTTGCAACATTGATGCGGGGGGAGGGGAGGGAAGGAAGGGGGAATATTTTCAATAGATACACATGACATTTATGCCTTAGAAAATTCAAATAATTATTCTATTTACAATAATTATATATTTTGATGAATATTCCTTACCACACATGATGGACRCTCTTGACTTGTTTTCCTCTGTTTACTTCAGAATCTTTACTGATTTTACTGTAGCTAAGTTAGGATAAAATGAAATTCATTTACTATCAGACAGTCAAGCTAAGACTACTGCGCTATTTCATTGGAAACCTTCATACCTTTCATAAATGTCTTTGTCGTGAGTATTCGGCTCGTTCAAATCAACACCATATACCTCCTTCATTGATGGCATTAGGTCCTTAAAACCAAACAAATTTTATTTTTAACTTGATTTTCCCAATAAAACATATTGTATATTACTTATGAAACGTTAAGGTAAATTAGCTCAGGTTTTAAAGAAACTTTTGAAAAAAATTCAATCTGACTGAGAAAATCAGAGTAAAAGTTTATGCAAATGAACAAGAAATCTGTATGTAATATACAACTCTCTTCATGGGCTATGATTTCTATTGTGTTTTGCCTTATGAATATTAATGAGTTTTATAAGTGATTGTATGAAGGCCAAATAAGACATTTAACTAGTGATGTAAACAAGGATTGTGTTTTAAAAACGTTCAAAATCTAAGAGACTGAACTGAACTGAACGCAACTAAAATTATAAGTCTTGGTGATTAACAGAGAGTATCACAAAGCAGCATGAAAGTCCTGGCCATCTTGTGATAAATACTTTTTTTTTAAAAAGTCAAACAAAATCCCCTCTAAGCTGTGGTGTTAGTCAGTACTCAGCTCCATTACTCAAAACCTAGTTTGGGAGAGTATTTTGAACTGACACATTCATTGTTTTAGAGGTGAATACTCCAGTTTCGAATTCTCTTAAATTTGTGCAAGCTTAGCTTCAATCAAGCATAAACTGTTATTGTCTTGTTTGTACACAGAGTGTTTGCATTACAATAGGATCTCTGTTGAATAAAAGAATGTATTACATGCTTTTGAAGTTAAGGTTGCACAATTAAGATCTTGAAACTGGAGTATAGGGATGCCAGGGACTAGAGCTTTTTTAACACTTGACAGTACTTTCCTGGGATAGACTGGAAATGGTATTTTATTATAAAACTTACCTGGAATGAGACAAAGGAAATAACATGTGAGGAATCACTCTTTGGTGATGTTGCAGTGAGATTATCATCATCGGAGCTTCCATCCTCTGAGCTACTATCATCAGCAGGTATACCGGGGGCTGCTGCCAGATCCTTACGKACRGGAACTCTTCGGCRACTACCAGAGTGACATATGAAATAATAATCATAGTAACATTGTAAATATCAACCCCAWTTATGGGTAATCGGTAGGAAATAATGAATTATTTAATAGTTGTTTCCCCTGTAGGTTCACTTCAATTATTTGGTGAGAAACCGAGAGAAAACTAACACAACCAAACATGACCRAATCTTGAGCAGAACTGATTTACTTGACAGTTGTAAAGAACACGCATTATTACAAACATGATCGCTCATGCAATTTTGCCAATTATGGATGTAATGAYGTAATCTTGACCTTGTCACATATGAAAAACACACACATCTTTGTTTAGTTTTCTTTTGGCCTGCAAATATTTGCTTATAATATGATCTAGAATAATGATGACAATGAAAAATAATGACAAATTTTACTAAATGATGRTGATGGCACTGCTTCATCACTTAGTCCACTTACGTTGGTGCTTTGTACAGATCTCTTACTATGAAAGGTGAATGGTTGTTGCTTGCTGCTGGCATAAAGTCTCTAAAAAGAGCAAAATATGGGAATATGAAGTATATGATCAACCATGATTAAAAAAAGCCATTGCTATTGTAAAAGACTGTGTTTCTAACATGATACAGAAATTAATAAAAGGAAAGTTATTTAATAGTGCTTAGAAGGTTATTTCTTTGTTAATGTCAGAGCTTAGCATTGACTGTCGCAGCTCGAAACATTCAGCGTATTTGATGCTGTTAGGGATCTTTTTATGGGAAAGAGTTTCTAGCCCTACGCCCTGAACCACCAATTAATAAAAGGAAAGTTATTTAATAGTGCTTAGAAGGAGGTTATTTCTWTRWTAAYGTCAGAGCTTAGCATTACTYTTGAAGACTGTYACAGCTCGAAACATTCARCATATTTGCTGCTGTTTCAGTCTGTAACAAGGGATCTTTTAAGTAATATATACAATATGAGCGGGCGATCTGTATGAGGATTTAAAACAGCGAGCTGAAAGCAAGCTGTTTTAAACCTCATACAGATCGCGCACGAATATTGTATATTACTTATGAAACGTTGAGGTAAACTAGCTCAGGTTTTAAAGAAACTTTTGAAAAAAAAATCAATCTGACCGAGAAAATCAGAGTTAAAGTTTATGCAAATGAACAAGAAATCTGTATGTAATATACAACTCTCTTCATGGGCGCTATGATTTCTATTGTGTTTTGCCTTATGAATATTAATGAGTTAAATAATAATGAGAAAGAGTTTCTAGCCCTGAACCCCCAATCTAGAGTCCCAGGGAATCGAATTGCTCTTTGTAAGGAACCTATGCTGAACAGTTTGGTTGCCAAGTACTCCTGCCAGCATAGCTGCATGGGTAACAGGGACTTGCAAACAGCCCTACTACTGACAATAAGGTGACAATTCAAATGAAGCTGCATTCTCTCCAAGGGAGCATCCATATGACTTACTTGCAAGACCTTTGCATGGTCAGTGGATAAATAGTATCAAACATGGTGAAAACATGAGGTCGGTAAAACTCAGAGAAAATATCCATCTCCTCATTTGTGACTGACTCTGGGCAAGCAAGACACATCCTGTCCTTGTCATTCTGACTTGGTTGATAGGACCCAACACAATAACCTAAACAAAACATGCACAATTTGATTGACAATAAACAAGTGGTACATTTTGTCTAGGAGTATGGCAAAGGATGTATGGCAATGTCTATTAATCAATGCATTAATCAATAAAGAATTACCTTCCCAAGCAGGGTATGGAAGGGCATTAAGGACCTTCTCATCTAGCCATGATGTATAACTAAAAAAAAACAGTTACAATAATTGTTGATGATGATGACAACTTTTCAGTAAAATCAGACGTTTTGATTGGTTGGCTTTCGTGTGTTATCAAAGTATAGATACACGGATTACATCAAAACTAATTGTTTGTTGTAAAACAGATAGATCTCTATGCGTCTCGTGCGTACTTTTTTGTTCTCACTACATTTTGACGTCATCTGTGTATCTATTAGAGTACACACGCACGGAAAAATGAGATCTATTTGTTAATTTGATGATGATGGTGATGATAATGATGATGAATTTGATGATGACAAAGGACACAAAGGACTATCTGTTTTTGAAATAATCAAATTTCTAAAGGACAAGCTTCAAAAAATCCCATCCAATTACCATGGTCTCTTCTTTAGTGCCTTTAGATTACATGTTGAAGAATGATGAAGATAATAATCAGTCATCATGTCCCAGACATTAGACTTTCCTTCACGGGGAACAAACACACCAAGGAATATGTTTATTGCTTGCTGCTTGTCAGCATCTGGACAAAATAAAGTATTAAACGGTCAAATGATTTTTAATATGTCACCATAATATGCCCTTTGAAGTCCGTTGCCAATTGAAAAGCAGCTCAAAATGGTGCAAGATAGAAACACATCCTTTTTATTAATCAAAATAATCTTTAACATTTTCTAAGTAACATGCCTTTTTATGTKGTTCACTTAAAAAGTACTCATCCGCAAAAGGAATGCATAATGCCTTCCTCCCAAGATAAAAACAACTTTATTTGACATATTCTAACAGGAGTGACTTCATTCCTAGCCTCATCAAAAAGAGAGTATAGTACACTATTAGTTCTCTTCAAATGTTTTTCTTTTTTGCAGGCTTTCCTGCGTCCAATCAGTTGATCTTAGTATTAAATCTTTART